AAACCAAAAACAACAAAAAACAGGGGTGGCCCCCCCCCCCCCCCCCCCCTCCTTATTCTAGCGGTGTGGCACTAGGAACTTCCCCCCCCCCCCGCCCCCCCCGCAGGGATGTTGATTTCCCGCATCTCCGTTTTCGTTCGTGTTTGTGCTTGCTTCAGTCGAAGGCGGGCGCCCCGGAGGCTATGGTCTTGGAGAGCGAGGAGTCCACGGAGCCCCCCAAGGAGGCCGCAGCGGTCATCGCCGCCGCCTCCTAGAAGTCAACGGAAAAAAGCCAACGGAAAAACGTGAAGTAGAACAACGAAAGCATAGCAACATAGCTGCTGTTGCTGCTGTTGCTGCTGCTCGAGCGTCTTGTAGGGAAGAGTTATGAGCTACAGCATTACCTTCTTTGTTTTGATCGTATTCAGTTTTTCTCTTGCCTTGTTCTGTCCAATCGACGTTGCCGAGTCAATGTGTGCTTGCTTAGTCCATTTTTTTTTTTTTCCGTTCTCGTGGTCTCGTCGGTGGAAAGAGGGAGGGAGAAGAGAAGCCTGCACGTTTGTCAAGAGAGGATGCTAACATACGCTTGTCCCGTCACACGTTGAGGAGAATTCAGCGCAATTAAAACGAAATTTCCTCGGGAAACATGCCGCCTTCGTCGGACCGCCTACCGTAGATGACGTTAGATATCACCCTCCCCCCCGGCCGGACAGATTCCAAAGCTGTAATTCTCCACACGAAGAGAGAGAGTGGTGGTACCTAAACCGCGGCGTTGGAACCGCCTCGTCGAGAGCTTTCCGAGAGCACGGCGTTTTCGTTTATATATCCTCGTGTTCGTCGAGTAGCCGAGCTTCAGTCCAGAGGTGCGGTAACTGGGAGTTGTCTCGTAGACTGGCAGAGCAACCAGGCCAGGAAAGCTTGCTACCTACGACGTTCAGGGCACTCTGGGAGAACCGCTTTTTTTTCCTTGGCGGCTAGTTACATTCAGGAACGGCCCTCGCTCACCCCGTTGTCGTTCCATTTCCTTGTTTCAACTCCGAAGAACCGCTTGTTTTCGGCTAAATCGCAACATCTGTGAAGGAGCCGACGCAGGGACACTGATGCACTGGTTTCGCATTGGAAAGTTCGTGAAGGGGGTGAAGAGGTAAATGTTTTTCGTGACAACCCAACTCTGGGATTCTTAGCCACCTACAGAGCTGCTTTTCTAGTAGTTCTGACGGGAGAGTAGGGCCTTTTCTTCCCACATTTTTCGTTTGGGTTGGTTGTTGTCGGGAACGTTGCATAGGTTCTACCGGAGGAGTGTGTACGAAAGGCAGGCGTGTAGCACAGAAGAGCTTGCCTTTTTGGCGCAGAACGAACGCACCACCGTTTCTACCTTTTTTTTTCGTCTAGACTACTATGTTTGGTCGTTGTTGGGCCTGCTACAGGATCTGAAGGAGGAGAGAGAGTGTGCGGAAGGCAGATCGTGTAAAAGCGCTCTTTCGTTGTGCGCAGGATGAACGCGCCACCGTTTGTTGCATCTTTTTCGTGGTACTAGGTTTGGTCGTTGTGGGGCTTGGCACAGGATCTGCAGGAGGAGAGTGTACACGTCAGGCAAATCGTACCTCTACCTAACACTGCAGGGTGTCCTCGACAACATGATGAGTTCTCCCAACCTTGGTAGGATGGCCGAATGGCTGCACGCTTGTCCTCGCACACGAATACACGATAATTAGTTTTCCGGGAAAGCAAAACATGATCCTCAGCTAAATCCGGCGTTCAGTGAACATTTTGAGACAGATTCTCCGTCCTCGCCAAATGTCACACAGTTTCCTAAACTGAATGGGACCCATGATTCTCCGCCCCTGATTTACTCTCAGATGCGACCTCACCCGAGTTGTTCAAGCTTCGCTCGATACACCTGGCAGCTCTTTGCCTACCGAAAAAATACTGTGGCTTCAATGACCTTTGACTTCATTAAAAGAGAGCACCATTTGTTTTTCCAAAACCAACACACCGACATTCTGTCGTAACCTGATCGTTCACGGTTGCCAATTCGCCATGTTGCTGTCCGCTACAACTTGGAAAACAATGATCTGTTGCCTACTATGTAGGCCTGTAACTGCGTTCTCAGTTACACCTACATGAGCCAGCCGTATTTTTCTAGTATCGACCAAAAGCAAAAGATCACGTCAGTTTGGGACATATTGCCAGGGATTCACTTTGTCACCAGATGGACCGCATTATGTCTGCTTCTTATCGTTACTGTAGTGTCATGTTTCCACATCACTTTCCATCTCGTTCTACAGCAATTCTTGAAGCGGTGGGTGTTGTGAGACGCTGTTGTCTTCCAGAATGAAAAGTGCCTTGCCACGTTGCCTACACTGTTCGTGGGCGATGTTGCCGAGAACGTGTGACCCGTTCCTTTTTCGACCATCTAATCACTGTTGATCTGGGAGGCTCGTCGTTTCTAGCCACTACAGTACTTCTTCGTCCTTGCTCCGTGCGGCCGTTTGCGTCGTTCTTCTTGTCGTGTCGTCCTTCTATTGTTGGGCGTCCTCTGACTTCATTTCTTACATTGCAGTGTTCACTTAGTGTTGAGAAGCACGACGGCCACTACAATGCACTAGATCAGCGCTGACTAGTGGCTCTAGTGTGTCATCGTGCTTCTCAACACTACTGCAATTAACGACTCTTTGCTGCCCTTCATCGATACGAAACTTTCGTTTACTGTGTGGTAGTGCAAATGCACGCTTCTTTGGCTTCATCACCAGTGGGAACAGAGTTTCAACACCTGGTATGTCGCACCCTTTCATTTATCCCAGCAGAACCTCTTCGTGTACTTCACTTTGAAGAAATACAACCACGCCCGTCCAAGCTTCCCACCCCGATTCGTCTTTTCTCCGATATGTTGCTCTCCTGCCCTTCAGAGTCCGATTCTGTTGGTTTGTTGGACTCTGTGTTCCCTATGTGACGGTCATTGTCTTCACGACAGTCGGTCTTGTTCCCACAACTGTTGGTTCTACTACATCCTGCGGTGATGCGTAGACTATAGAAGCGCTTGCCGTCCACGCTCCGACCATCTATCTCCAATGGTGTCGAGAAATCCTCCGCAATCTCCTCCGACGAAATTGACGAGGTACCGGTTTCGGTGTCCTTGTTCCTTAGTGCGGGTTTGTCTTATGTTTGAACACCACCGCGATTGGCGCGGCATTGGTCGTTCATTCGTGTTGCTTCATTGGTGCGGTCGTTGCTGGCGAAGACGTTCCAGTATCAATGATCTCCTCGACCACCAATGTTGTTGGGTTGTTTCTTCGTTCGCAGGCAAACCGTCAAGATGTGCCCAAACTCATGGCACGCTATGTCAATTGAGATCTTGTTCCAGCTCGATTCACTAATGGATGAACCACAGCTGACACGCCCGCTTCAGAACAACTCTTCGTCGTTTCCCTTTCTTAGTCCTCCTTGGCCGTCGTATCACGAATTTCTTGCGCCGTGAAGTATCTCGTTCAGATTGCAATCGGTCCTATGGGCGCGAGCGCTGAACCAATTCATGTGATATACACAAGAAACTCCTTTCAGGCTGATGTCCGTCCTGCGTTCTCGGGTGCAAGTCCGCCGATGGATCCGATGGCACATCAACCAGTAGCTTTTGCAAGCCTCTTCAAAACACTGATGCTCTTCTGCTTATGTTTGTACGCGCGCTTTCACCGTGCAGCGGTTTTCCATACTGTTTCACTCATTGCTCTCCGTGTTGATCTTGATTGTTGGCTTCCAAGCCAGCTCCTTCTCTTCCATCTAGCCTACTTCATCCACCAATGCTGCCAGTTGAGTCGAATGCAGGAGAGCGGCTGACACCAGTTTTCAACACCCCATGGGTGTCATCTTCGCATGGCCCTCCTATTGTTCATCCAATTCTTTGCTTAGCTCCTGGCCATAATTTTTTTCTTCCTCCAAGGTCACTTTTTTTCCTCCTTCCTGGACTTGTCATTCCTTGGCATCTTCCTAACTAGGTGCACTTTAGGTCGGGCGTCTGTTCACGTTGTTAGTCGTCGATGTTCTCGAATTCCAGACTAGGCCAATATCCGTGTATGAGTAGCGGATGTTCGCGATTCCTTCCAGTGCTGTACTCTGTAGCTCAGCATACGCGTTTGTTCTTCCATGAAACGTCTTAATGGCATTTGCCGCCAACCGACCCCCCCATATTGTGTGTCGTTTGATTGAACCGAACCGCAACCGAAACAGCACTCGCCCGCGTACTCTCACCCACTTTTCCCGAAATTCCGTAGAATGGACCGGAAATTCACGATCCACGCGTTGCCTTCTTCCTTTGCCTTCTTTTTCCTTTGTCACGCTCAGCTTCGCAAACACTCCTGGGCAGATGATGTACAGGACGTATTTTCGACCTGTCGATGCACGTCATGTGCAGGCCGCTGTGCTTTTCCTGACGTGCTGTGGTTATTCTCTCCAGCCCAGAGAGGCCCAGAGGCCCAGAGGCGATGGAAACATTAAGGGATAATAAATACACACACAGAAAGACTACCCATTCGAGATATACCCACAGTCGAACGGGATGTGGTGATGGAAACATGGAACATGGCACCAGCGAAACGTCAGCAGTTCCCCCGCATGGAACCAACCCACCCTCCCACAGCAAGAGATCTGTGGTCCGCCGTCCCCCTGCACGGAGCCTTTGAGAGCTCCACACACACACAACAACCCATCAGCACTCCCTCCAAAGCTCCAAATCTCCACAGCTCTCCAAGGTGCTAAGCAATCGATTCCTGGTGAAAGCTTAAGGGCGCGCAGAGGCAGCGGGAGGACTGGGAGGGAGGCAGGAATCGCAAAAGGTGAGGTCTTCCTATAGCTTTTTGTACTCTGGTGTACAGCAGTCATCTATCGTTGACGCTGACTCTTTTTCTCATTAATCCTAAACCTTCCGCCTGGAAACCTGGTAATAAGTACTAATATCAGCAGAGGACACCACCAAGAGGCGTCGTGCGTGCTGACACGTTCAGGTTTGCTACTGTATCGAAATATCGAAAATTGCGGCAGCCGCTGAAAAAAGTCCAAAATCTGCCCCGGAAACACGCGGCATCCAACATTTATTTGCACACCCTGTACAAATACATTATTTGGTAATTGTCTGGCAGGCAAATACTTTCTTGAGAACCTACGCAAATATTTGTCTAGAGGCAAATACTTTCTTGAGAACCTGCGCGAATATTTGCCTTCAGGCAAATACTTCCTTGAGAACCTGCGCAAATATTTGTCTGTAGGCAAATACTTTCTTGAGAACCTGCACAAATATTTGCCTGTAGGCAAATACTCTCCTGAGAACCTGCACAAATATTTGCCTGCAGGAAAATACTCTTCTCCTGAGAACCTGCGCAAATATTTGTCTGTAGGCAAATACTCTCCTGAGGACCTGCGCAAATATTTGTCTGTAGGCAATATTTGTCTGTAGGCAAATACTTTATCGAGAACCTGCGCAAATATTATTTTATTTGTCCTGACAAATATTTTGAAAAAAACAGCTGGTACTGCGGGGAGAGTCGGAGGGAGAGACTAGCCGCATGTCATGCATGCGATGGGAGATTGGTCTCGGAAATACAGAAGCCCATCGCTGAAGCGTGCATCTGAAATATCCGTTGATCGGGGTGGAAAAAAACAGGATCAATAAACAACAGCCACGCACGGCCACACTCGCCGACGCCACAACCCCTCCACCATCTCACTCATTCCGTATCGTTGGATGATGAGTCAACTCCTGTGGCAAAAAACAAGAAAAATCAAGGGCCCAAAAACACCAATTGATATTTATTTGCGGCTGCAAATACACCGGGCTCAACGGTCTCATTTGTGCATACGTACTCTTGTAGGCCGAAGAGGTCAATATCTCCGCATGCGCAAATAAATACATTTGTCTGCAGGCAAATACTTTCTTGAGAACCTGCGTAAATATTTGTCTAGAGGCAAATACTTTTCTTGAGAACCTGCACAAATATTTGCCTGCAGGCAAATACTTCCTTGAGAACCTGCACAAATATTTGCCTGCAGGCAAATACTTCCTTGAGAACCTGCATTTGCCTGCAGGCAAATACTTTCTTGAGAACCTACGCAAATATTTGTCTGCAGGCTCCTGAGAACCTGCACAAATATTTGCCTGCAGGCAAATACTCTCCTGAGAACCTGCGCAAATATTTGTCTGGAGGCAAATACTGCCCTGGACAAATACACGCAACTATTATTTGTATTTGTTATTTGTATTTGTACAGGGTGTGAACATTTGTCACAGCCGTGCTCACCGCCACCGACCGTAAACCCCTGAACGGAGGTTGTCAGCAGTAGCTAGTGGCACCAGCTACTGCTGTAAACCCGCAGGTTAGGAGATTGGTGTCAGTGGCGGCGAACACAACAAGCAGTTACAAGACGCTGGGTGTCGGTCTCATTTTTCGGAGATTCGCGGAGATTGGTAGGCCACAACGGCGACGCTCGATATTACCACCACAGAAGCAGATTTGAGCGCCAACACGCACCCCCCGCTGCTTAGGAAGCCTTCTAGTTATATTAGTACTTTACACCAAGTTCCTGTGTTTGGGGTGCTCGGCAGAGTATACTGTCTACGGGGCTTCCGGGGGGGTACGCGGATGACATGTGTTGATGGACTGCTTCATGGCGATGGTGTGGCCTGCTGCATGTCTATCACTCTCCAAGCAACAAGGTCTTGAGTCAACCTTCTTTCTCTTTCGGCCTCTGACGAGCTACCGTACCCAAACACAATATTTTTGTAAGGCCTGGTGTTGGTATTTAGTGGGTATTGGCGTCTGAGCTGTATGTGTCGGGCCAATGGGGCGGCGAATACGATTTTCATTGCGGAGCTGGGACGGTAGCCTTCGGGGACCGGGACATCAGAGGGTAACAGCTGGGACGGTGGCCATTGGGGACCGGGGCAGCAGAGGGTGTATAGCTGGGACAGCGCTTCATGGCTGGGACAGCAGGTTACGTGTGGTTTTATCAAGTAGACTTAGCGGAGAAAAACGGTCGAATAGGAGGAGGTTTCGCACAGAGGGGGTTCAGCGGTGCGCGTGAGGATGGAAGAGGCGCTACGAGTTGCCGAGTAGTCGCTACGAGCTGCCGAGTGTAAGGTGGAGATGCTGGCGGAGGCGCTTAGAGTTGCGGAGGCTGCCGAGTATGAGGAGGAGAGACTTAGGCAGCAGCAGCAGCAACAACAACAATAACAACAGCAGCAGCAGCGATTGAGTGCTCAATCGCAGCAGCAGCCATCGCAGTTGCAGCAGTGTTCTCGTGGTGGTTTTGTCCGTCAGCAGAACCAACGCTGCGTGTTCGCTCAGAGTCAACAGGCGCGGCAGCAACAGCAATCGGCGCGGCAGCAACAGCAGACGCCGCCAAGCGAAGTTGGTGGGATATATGATTGCAGGAGCAACGCCGTGTATTTCCAGCCGGAATCACGCCCTCCGCCCGGTATGGTACACCATTGCATTCGGTGCCGCAGGAACGGCCACCACGGCGGAGAATGCGCCGCACACCGCAGGTTCGAGGGTACGTGCGGCGCCTGTGGTCAGTACGGCCATATATGGCGGAACCGCGCCGTGCATCTTCATGGCATCAGCGGCGAGGATGACGGCCGTACCGTCCGCGGTGGCTGCTGGATGGGCGTCAATGGCGGCGGCATCTGCATCGGCATCGGTGGTGGCGACGGCTGAAGCCCGGTCGTACAGCAGCAGGTGGTGGTAGAGAGCGAGCACCGCTTTGGTTTTGTCGACCTGGTTCACGACCGATGATGACGGATGGTTTGGATGGAATGATTCTGTCGACATGGTTCACGCTGGTGGCAGTGTCTGAGGTGGTGTTTTTCCCACTGCTTCGCCGGGGACAATGGCCATAGCGCCCGCGTTGGCGGCTGGAGCGGTGGCATCGGCGGCAGTACGGACGGCGACGGCGGCGACGGCGGCGACGGCCGATAATCATGTTTTCCCCGCAGAGGCGGTGGGGGGAATGGCCGGAGCACCGGCTTTCGCGCCTGGAGCGGTGGCATCGGTAGCAGCTCCAGCGGTGACGGCGGCGACCTCCGGCGGCGGTAGTGTTTCCCTCGGAGCGACGGCGGGAAACGCCCGGAGGGCTCGCGGCGGCAGCTGGAGCAGCGCCATTGGCGGCGGCTCTGGCGGCGACGGCGGCGTTGCCCAGCGACACTGTCATCTCTGCGACGGTGGCGCGGAGAACCACCGGAGCGCCCGGGTTGGTGGTTGGAGCGTCGGCATCGACGGCGGTTCCAGCGGCGACGGCGGCGGCACCCGACGGCGTTGTTTCTCCCGCTGCTGCGGCGGGGAGAATGGCTCGAGAGCCCGCGCAGGTGGCTACAGCGGGGGCATCGGCGGCTGGAGTGGCAGCATCGGTGACAGCATCACCCGCGACCGCGGGCGACGGCACCGGCCGCTACGAGGGCGACCGTCGGTGACGTTTCCCCCACCGTATCGGTTGGGGGGACGGCCAGTACATGCAACGGAGAAGCGATGGTCAACGACATCGACGACGGCAGCGATAATGGTGGTTGGTGCGCCGGTGAGGTTGGTGAGTACTGGGATGACAGCATCTGTGGCGAGAGGGGGGCCCACGCATACTTTCGATCCCGGCACTGTGTGTTCCCGCGCGGCGCCAACGATCCCGGGGTCGACGACCTGGTCGATGGCTCCAGCAGCAGCAGCAAGAACAGCAGCAGCAGCAGCGGCAGCAGCGGCAGCGGCAGCAGCAGCAGCAGCAGCGGCAGCAGCAGCAACGACGAGGCAGAGGGGATGGATGTGGCCTGATTTCGGGCACTGCTGTGCCCCTTCGACCCGGGGCAGCTGTGCCGGCTGAAGGCTGGGAGAGTGGGGCCGGTGCTGGGGGTGGCGTTCGACCGTGGAAAGATGTCGCGGGGGCAACGGTCGGGGCGCGCGTGTTCGCGACCGGAGCAGCGGCAGGAGGACCAAGAAGCGGAGAAGGGAGTTCGGAGGATCGGGCGAGTTTAACAATGACACCAAGCAGCGCGACTCTGCTGGGCTCTTAAACTCGCCAAGGCACGCGATGTTTGTTTGCGCATTTTTGTCATTTTTCTGTATTTGTTTTTTGTGCAGGATGTTGTTCTGGTGTTTTGATCTTCATATACAATTTTACTGCTCCACTTTTCACCGTTGTTTGAATGTCTGCATTTTTCTATCATTGGTGCGGTTGCAGGCACGTTTTGCTTTGTGTTTGTTCTGTAGAGATGTCCACTCGCGTTTTACCTCGCAGGGACACTATTTTCCATGACGAATGGCAGGAAATTTCCATGGTAGATAATTGTTGTTTTTCTGGGAGGCAAATGCAATGTTGCGGCAGGGGGGCCGTTGTGTGCCAGGAAACATTGAGATGGGGCCCGCAGTTAAGAAAAATTCTGTTAAGAAAAAAAAGGCTCAATTTTTTACGGAAGATAAGAAAAAAGGCCCAAGAAACACTGCTCAATCTCGGCCACAACATAAGAAACATCCCAATGAGAAACATTATCGTGCGATACCCCGAGACAATTTAAATAAGGGGTAGAGGCTAGGGTAGCGTATCCAAATAAAAGTCCCACTGCTGCTGCTGCTGCTGCTGCTGCTACTGCCATGCTCCCACCTCCTCCCTAGCTCATGTCATGTAATTTTTTGGTAGGGGCAGAGAGTGTTTATTTTCATGGCGCCCCCCGCTCCCCAGCGCCGCCGCGGGCTGCGCTATACCCACTGCTGCTGTAGACTTCTGTACTCCCACAACTCCCAATGTTCGCCACACCAAGCTGTCGATTTAATGCTGCATTAAGGCTTGGTGTGTTCTT